TGAGATTATGACAGAGTTGCCCAAAGAAACCCTTTTTTTTTGCCTTTTAAGCTAATAGTAGCTAACTCGCTCTCTGGGTAAAGAGAGCTTTAACAGGATCACACCACACCTCCATCTGAGGTCAGTGCCTGAGGGCAACAACTGCCTGAGGATACATGTCTTTTGAATTTGATAGATATGTAGCATGATTCAAGATATCTTAAACTTTTTAAGGCTTAACCCCAAATGACAAATGTCTCCCACAGTCAGAGCCCCAAGGTCATACCTGGAACAGTATGAGTAATATTCCGAGGCATTAAACCTTACACTATATACAACTAATACAAATCTGATCAAGTCAAATTCAACTGGTAGAATAATATGGTCTTTTTTAAATCTTCTGTGGTATAACGGCTGTTTGACAATGGCCTTTGAACCTTACAGACACACATATACACCTTGGCCTCAAAGCACAGGATGAACTGTCATTCACATCAGTTGAGCTACGTCCTATTAATCTGCCTGATATTTAACATGAAGCAGCTCACTGCTGGGGGAGGAGGAGATGATGGGGGAGGGGCAAGAGGCACCGAATGGGCTCTCTTGTCAGCCGCTTGTGAGTGATCATACAACATGAATACACAGAGAGGAAAGCATTGTTTGAGTTGTGCGCCCCTCTTGTTTCCATTCTCTCTGCCCCCTGTCTTTCCCTCCATCCCTCACTCTCCTCTAGCACTTGACATGCATGCGGGGTGAGCACACGGGGGGTAGAGGAAAAACAATTATGCTTGGCAGTCATAAATCCACAGGACGTAATTCACGAGCTATTCACTATTAATTCATCGAGTGTTTATAAATGTGGTTAACAGAAGAGAAAAGCAGCCCGAATGCTAAAGTAAATTAGCCTCTAATTAGATTGCTATTCATGAAATTCCCATTCAAAAGTGTTGACGCAATTAATAGCATGTGAAATTGCAAATTAAACCAATACAGAATTATACGACGCACTCGTGTTTATGTGCGTCTCTCGCCACTTTGAAAAATATAATGCTGTTATCACCGTGGTGACATCATATAAATATGTTTCTCCTCAGATGTGGTCACCGGGTCCCAGCATATTGAGGGTGAAATGAAACAGGCGCACAAAGCAGCGTGGGTAAGGAGGAAAGTGAGAGACGAGGCAGTGACAGGCATTACATTTGTTCTCTAACCTTTCAGCAGTGAAAAGTGCGTAAGCAGCAAAAATGGAGGGTGCAGATTTTCTGATTATCAGTGTATGGGAATGCGACAGATGCACTGTGGTATTTACTGTGGCTTTCTGTGCCTGCGTGTAGCCACCTGTTTCATGAATTGCATTTGTGCAACTTCCTGCTTGGGACATGTTTTCTCATAACTTCAATAATATTTGTGTGTGTGCGCGTGCAAGAGCCACCACATCTACTATATTATTGCCTTTGCTGTTTTGCAGTTCCACAATGTAGGCACTTGCTTCTGTCACTGAGAATAGATTGTGGATGTCTGTGGGCATCTAGGAGCACACATCTGCAGCTTGGCCGATACATACACTCATCACACACTCCTGTGTGTGTGTGTGTGTGTGTGTGTGTGTGTGTGTGTGTGTGTGTGTGTGTGTGTGTGTGTGTGTTTGTCTGTGTTTTGGTATGTGCATATTTTTGTCAAGGTTGGTAGGTATGTGTAGCAGTCAAACTGACTGATTGTGATTGCAGTGGTGGCAGAGATTGTGATGAAACTGCATGTGTGCTGGGGGTGAATAATCAGCATCCCTCTGAGGTAATGGGGACTAGGAGGGAGGGTAGGAGGGAAGAGTGAGAGGGCCCTGCTTCAGAGGTCCAGCCAGAGTGTGTGTGTGTGTGTGTGTGTGTGTGTGTGTTGAGGGAGTGGGGGGGTGGGTAGGGGCAGTGGGACACTGCTCCTGGAACCCTGCGTTCGGTGAAGCTCCATGCCTAATGGGGGGCAGAGAAGTTAATTCCACTGCGCCGAAGCTTTATCTCATTTTCATACATATGAACGCGCCGGGCCGAGATCGATTACCGCAAACAAATTGAAATGCCTGAGACCAAGAGAGGCCTGCAGAGAGGAAAGCAGAAAAAGACGCTGAGGATAGGGGGGAGGTGGTGTGCATGTGTATGTGTCCATGAATTTCTGAGAGTGTATAAGGAAGGCAGAATTCACTGATATGGATGGGGAGGCACAAATCACTACCGCATACTAATTTTCTCCCCTCCCGCATATACACACACCTCTATTATTTAGTGACACGCATTAAAAACTCAACTTATTGCAGTTGGTGCCACCTTCCTTTTAAGAGATATTGCAGATGGGAGGTTATGAGCAAACTCACAGAGGTCCTGATGGCTCACTGAACGATAAGTCTTCAAACAGGCCTTTTTCCTCCTATTTTCTATCTTTCTGTCTGCATGAGTACGCACTACATACAGACAATAAGTTTCTCATTCTATGTCCCCATCTTTCTCTTTCTCTCATTAAACATACCATAAAATAAATGTCTATGTCATTAGTACTCTTCCATATTAGCACTGTCATTGACTCCCGACAGTCATTTTTGGCACTTGTCTAAAGTGCTCACTGCTTCATTACCTTCTTTCCTCCCTTTCCTTCCTTCATTTTTGCTTTTATCTGGCCATAACGCCCTGTTACACTTCCTTTCCTTTCTCCTCCCTCCTTCTTAGCTATGCCCCTGTCGATGGGCCTCTCTCACAGGAAGAGCCGTCAATATTTCCTCTCTGACTCTCAGCATTTCCTTTGCTGCTCCTGCCAGAAACACTTGGTACAGCCGTACACACATCATACACTGCAGTCGGAAAGTATTAGGGCCGTGATACACCTTCCATTGTTTTGGTTCTAATCTGGCACATTGGATTTGCAATTTAACAATGAATATGTGAATATGAGCTTTATTATACTGCCTACATTTTAGAACAACACAGAGGCACATAGATCATAAATGGTTTTCTATAACCAAACTATTATCAAAGTCAGTCTCTTGACCTCCACCAAATAACTGCAGCACAAGCCTTTCAGAGCATCTCCAGGAGAGATACCAACTGTGTGCTAAACTAAACTAGCTAACTAAAATTGGACGGTAATGTTTAAAAGTCGCCACAACCCCAAACTGTTCATCATCTGTCAATATAAAAAGTCTAATTTATAGCTGAAGGTCAGCGCTTTAAACTCATAGTTGTTTCATTTCAAATTCAATGTGCTGTAGTACAGGATCAAAACACTGCACTGTAGAACTGAATGTTTAAACACAACATATATGCAGACAAACAGAGACGGACCCAGTATTGCACGAAGAGCCACCAACTCAGTGTGTGACGTTTGTTGATGCCCACATAATCCTTTGGGCTATGTGGATTGTCGCCATCAAACACAAACCTCTCCTGGCTCCAGGTCCAGTCCATCACGCTAAATTCAACACATACCAAAAAACTCTCCAGCCATTTCTCAGTCAACAGTCTAGGTAGACTATTAAAGAGCAGCACTCATTGCATTGGAGAATTACCACCACTAACATATACCATTGAGCAAGGCATTTTATATCCAATCAATCTTCAAGTAAAGTTTTTCAGTGGCTACCAAGTGTGAATATAAACTATGTGAGCATTCACTCTCAGCAAATAATATTAAAGACAAAGGGTGCACACTATTAAATCAGTTTGATCTCTCCTAATGTCCTCCGTTGCACTCTAAAAACTACTTGTGACAAGGACCCGTTGTCTGAGTACTATTCATACAGTTACTGTACATATTTTGGACAGAATCATAATAAAACATTGAGATCTTTTTTCCAGTTGAAAACCAGAAACTTGGTTATTAGACCAAGCTCACAGTCAGGGCACGGGAAGGGTAATTAAATTGACAGGTCATGGTTCAAGGCAAGCTGTGGTGACCTTTGTTGAAGCCCAATAGTTACACCCAGATGGCCAAGCTGCAGCTCAAACATGGGGAGGATAGGTGCCAACAGACACACCAGGAGGACTTAAAGGTAGCCACCTTGCTCAAATTCTGTGCCGTCTTCTACCAAACCAGATCATGCAATAACAAAACCTATGTCAAGCATTTTGCATGAATTACATCATCTCCAACTGTAAATGCAGAAAACTCACCAGAGTGGTGCTAGGTGAAGAGACAATAAAGCAGGATGCTATGCACAATAATCAACACTGACCAAGATGTGTGAAAATTCAGGTCTAAAAGAAAAAACAAATTGGTGTGCATGTACACAAAGACCAATCTATTACTATAGCTGTGAGAACATATCACTTACTAACGTAACTTTGGATTATAAGTCTATTCATTACAGATGTTTATATATCTCTTGCCTCAACATTTCACAAATATTTAAAGCACAAGCCTGTCACTGGGACAACTGCGAGCAGCAGATGTAAAACTGGGTTTTTGTAAACATTTCAAATGAAACTAAAGCTAATTTTACAGCACTACACAGAGAAAATCTATGTTTGGCATTTTAAGAGGACACCAAGGGCAAGTGAGGACACCGTTCTTTCAGTCCTACTCTTCCTGCATTTCAGCTGAACTCCATGCCCTTCTTTTATTCCACTCCTCCTCTCCCTTCCTCCCTTACCCCATCCCCCCATCCCCCTGCCCACACCACACTCAGTGTGCTGTCTGGGTGCCCTCACGCTTCACTGCCTGGTGCTGCAGGCACACTAGGCGTCACTCTGCATCAGACTCCACTGTATTTGCTCTGCTGTGCGTGTGTGTGTGTGTGTATGTGTCTAAGAAACATCAGTCAAACGGCACAATTGTGCATGCATGTGCAAACTGTGTGTGTCCATCTGTGTTCAAGAACGCTAAATGCTATGTGTGTATAATGCATGTATAATATATGTGTGTATGCTTTTATGGGTCATTGTGTGTTAATCAGAGCTGATTAATGTATATCATTGGATGGAATGCAATTTTAGAAACTGAGACAGATGAGAGGGTTCAGTTGACTTGATCATGATACTCACCTTTGGGTTTCTGATCAGCAGCCTGCAAGAAAAGAGAGAGACAATTGACCTAAGAACTTGACACAGTGAGGGACAATCATTCAAAACTGTAAATAAATTAAATGTGTTATGACAAAACCTCAAGCTTTAATCAACATGGAGGGACTAGTGTTACCGAGTAAAGTGATCCAATCATTTCAAACTCATTCAAAAGAAGTCAGTTGTTGTTGGTTTAGTGGAAGTTTTCTGCCAACAAATCAGCCAAATCAAATTTTACTAAAAAGCCATTGATTATCATTAGAAAGGATTGGAGGTTCACTGTACCTGTGCTTGCTAGCAGACTCAAAATAGATATGCACAGCTTTTTTAATAGGTGTGTTGTGTGAACGTAATTTTCACCTTCACCTTTTTCTGAGCGACGTCCGTCTTGGTCTTTTCTTCTTGTTTTTTCCTTTTCTTTTCTTCCATCAAATGGTCCTCTTTCTTCTGTTGCTTGCTTTTCTCAGCTGTCAAACAAGAAAACGAAAGAGTAATGAGTAAAAATGAAGGAGAAGACTAAAATGTAGCTCAGATGCTTCAGTGTCCTTCACTTTTTCAATATTTCAATTATGTGCTTCGTAGACTTTACACAACTATGGCATTAAAACACATTCACATTGTCTGCACAAAAACAATCCAAACAAAAATGTTCACAAGCCCCCCCCCCCCCCCCCACACACACACACACACACACACACACACACACACACACACACACACACACACACACACACACACACACTATATAAACTTTCAACCCCTTCCTTTTGATCCATGTGCAAGTCAGAGCCAAAGTATACTCAGGGTCTGGAAAAACTTTTCCATCCACAATCGTCAGTTCACAGTCAAAACTAAAAAGGAGAAGATAGACTGGAGGGGTACAAAAGAGGAAAAAGGGAAACTGAAAAGAAAAAAAAAGCTCCACATACAAGTAACAGAGATAGATAAAGATAGAGGGAGACAGAGAATGAACATTAAGAGTGAAGGCCAGCGTAAAGGGCTGGTTTAAAGACCGCAGAAAACGGCAAGAAAATAAAAAGGCAAGGGATTAAAAGGACTAAAACGAAGTCAACGTAAAGGCCAAGAGACTTACAGACATAAAGACATAAAGCCTTTTTACAAAGATCTGTTTCCAGTGGGCGTGAGTCAAACTAGCCAGATAGCTAGCCCAAGGGCAAGGGAAACTAAGTGCTTCATTTCAGCCTGTATTTCCTTTGGCTCAGCTTTAGTGACAGCTCCTGGAAAGTATTAGAGGCATGAGCTGGGCCATAGGGACTGAATGTGTGTGTTTAGTCTTCACTAAGTGCAATGGACACTAATCTATAATACACCACTATGTGATATCAAATCAATGATACAACCCTCTAAAATGTGCAAATATAATCAATTATCTTCATGTCACTTTAAAATAATGGCCTACTCCTATTTGCTGGCCATCCTGAAAAGAGTTCACACACACACACACACACACACACACACACACACACACACACACACACACACACACACACACACACACACACACACACACACACACACACACACACACACACACACACACACACACACACACACACACACACACACACACACACACACACACACAGCTTGTACAAAAGGCCTTTGTGGCTCTTCATCCTTGTGAACTGAAGGAAATGACTGTATTCGATCTTTTAATGGGTGTGTAAAACTCCTGACAATGGAATTTGTCTCAGAGAGTCCTGTTTGATCAGTTGTTAGTTTATTATCTTGCATTACAATGTTGGGCTGTGTAAAGTGTAATAGCTAAATGATGATATTCAAATGTGGTTGAATGTGCTGCTTTTTTTCTGTTTAATATATTACTGTCAATTTCATACCTTTGGATTTATGTTGATCAGACAAAACAAGCAAATATAAGACATCACCCTTGGGCTCTGAGAAATGTAATGTTATTTGAAAAAAAAAAAAAAAGAAGAAAGACAGATGAATTGATACTGAAAATTCTTAGTTGATGCCCCAATATTGATTGTATGTGTATGTGATTATGTGTACCGTCGCTGACAAGTAAACTAAACACAAAATGTGCCTACACAGGGCTTGGATATGAATCAAAATCTGAATGTATGAATGAATCATAATGCTCATAACAGCAGATTAATGAAAGGACTGCCTCCCACTGTGCTGCCCACTGGCAGGGGGAGGGGGCTGTCAATCAAAAAGACAGGAGAGGCCTCAGAGAGACTGTCTGATGGCGTGGTAATATTGCTATGGCAGTAAGGGAAAGAAAGGAAGAGAAAGAGTAGACAAAGGTTGGACAGACATACAGATTGGCAGAGGGAGAGAGAGAGAGAGATGGAGGAAGAGAGACACTGAACACTGTTGTCAACAGTGAGTTAAGAGCCAAACCCTGGGGAAGACTGCCAGACTAGTGGCCATTGCAGCACGGTAGAATGAAAGAAAGGAGATATCCCTACATTACTTTTTTCCTCTTCCATCTGGATTTTCTCTTCCTCATTCCCTCCTTCTCCTTTCATTGCTCTCTTGTTCTCTCTGTTTCTGTCTTACATCCACACGGTCCTATTTTTCATACTGAGGAGTCTGTGTGTATGTGTGTGTGTGTGTATGTGTGTGTGTGTGTATGTGTGTGTATGTGTGTGTGTGTCATTGTGCTATCTCAGCAGCTAGGGGAAAGCAGCCCTCAGGTAATAAATAGGACCTCAAATTATATGTGTGTGTGTGTGTGTGTGTGTGTGTGTGTGTGTGTGTGTGTGTGTGTGTATACACAGATAATTATATGCAGTATGTGCAGTAGTTTATTTGTCATTCTCTTCCGGTATTTGAACCCGTCAATCCTCTCCCCAGTCATCTAGCATGATGGTAGCACACAGCTACCAAATGCCTGTACCTAAACCTATTCAACACTATGACACGACTATAAAACAGAGGATAAAGGGCTGGGGGTAGGAAGACAGTGATAGTATGCAAGCAGAGATGGAGATGGGGGATATATGAAGGAAGAAATTGGCTTCTGCCATTAACTCATTAACTGTGTTTATATTTTTCTTTCACCATCAGTTGCTCGTCACAGTGCCTCTCTCTAGTATAGCTGACCGTGTCATCCTGTTAGTGTCCCCATTAACCCCGCAGATGATAGAGGATCTACCCTATCTGGTTACTACGGCTGTTGTCACAATCTGAACAGGGTGTACAAATACTACAACAGCAGCACAGCCGCACAGCAACATGCATTATCTATCTAATTTCATATGTGTCAAAACACTCATATTAATCAAGCTCATAGTTAAAGGGTTGTTGTTTTTTTTATTTTACTGTAACATTGGAGGCAGCCTTGTAGAAAAACAGTTGTTATGTGAAATATGAGAGAGCGGACAGTTGTCTTTTGAGCTGACGTAGTCAATGCCAAAGTTAGCTTCGCTCCTGACCTCCATTGCTCCCACATATATACTTACCTGCCTCTCCTTGTGTCTCTCTCTCTCTCTCTCTCTCTCTCTCTCACACAGTACTGCTGACACCAGCACCTCCTCAGCACTGACCCTGGGGTGTCTCTGTGCTGCCTTTCAGCATCAGGTTTAACCTCGGTGGCAGTATGACACTGCAATTAGGAAAAATAGGTCTATGTTTTGAGTTTACTGACCTACACGGACAGTGTGTCATTTAGTCTTCTCTTATATTTAAGGGGCTTAGATCGCCTTAGCTAACATAATGTAGCCAGTAACTGAACCAGTAATTATTTAACTCTTGCCCTTAAAAACAACGGCCAACAGCTAGCCTCGATAAAAAGTCAAAAGTTATATGCTTCCCAGCTAATGCAAAATTGTTTTATTCACATGTAAGCTAGCAAGCTGTTCACCAATATGTCTTATATGGCTGTGTATTGTCCAAAGTTGTGTGCAAAACTGGCAAGTGCTTTCAGTCTGTTGGTCGGTCAAAAAATAGCTTCAACGCACGGGCTAACAGCTTGTTAAAACACAATGTCGCTTTTTCTACATTAAATACACGCATACATGCAAGGCTAGCTGTCCCTACCCACCCAGTTCTAGACAAGGCAGGTTAAGCATGAACTTCCCTTTGTATTGGATGCAGTAAAACAACATGCATCTCTGCTCGATCTGATGCTAGAATAGGCACACTGACAAGCCAGGGTCTTTGGAGCCAACATTCCCTGACATTAATAAAACATTTCTACAAGAAATACAACATACGAGTGCCAAACTTTTTCCTTCCTTTTCATCTTAAACTTCAACCTATTCTGTGATCCTACACTGACTACAGTGGCTTTTCTAAAGAATACAGAGTTGAGAAGGAAAACATCCAAAGTCTCAGAAAACTTGGGCCACTGGGAAATTGTGAAGAAATTGCAAAGCGAGGCAGTATCCCCTCTTCCTGTGCTGCACAAAACAGTTCTATATCCTGGGACTATTAGGGCTAAGCTATAGAGAAGGAGGCATGACAACAAGAACACACTGTACAGGAATGAAGGGGCTAGAAACTCACAACACACACAAATCCAGTCACACAGACACACACACAGGGAAGCCTGATGTACAGAGGCAGGAGGCAGTCTGTCTGATGCCTGTCTTTTTCCATCAGGGATGGAGAGGGAGGTGGGAGGAGAAGGAGAGATGAGGATGGGGGGGATGAGAGGAAGGGAAAAAACAGGCGGAGGATGAAAGCAGACGCAGAGAAACACCAATTAAGAACGACAGCCGCCGGAGAACCAGACAGGGCACGGAGAAAAAGAAGAGAGCTGGAAGAGGGAAAAGACAGAAAGAATCCTCACTGGAGAGAAATGGAGGAGTTGGAAAAAAAAAACCCGTAGCAGTATTGAGGCTGGCAGACAAGGAGAAACAGGGAGATGAGGAAGGGGGAGAAAGAGGCACCTAAATATCCATGCACCTTGATCACTAGATCCAGAGAACGATGCAGGGAGGAAAACGAGGGGGGGGACCAAGCAAGGGTGATAGAAAAAGAGAATAAGGGGAAGGGGGAGTAAGACTGAGGAAGACAAAGGGAGGGGAGACACCGAAACCAAGAGAAGCTCTAAAAGGGGAAAGAGCTGCGAGGAAAAAAATGCAGCTTCACATGTTCTGAACGACTGTCAGATAAACCGCAGACACAACACTGATCACAAAGGAGGGGGAGATGAGGGAGGAGGGAGAAAGAGAGAAGACACTTTTTTTTTTTTCCTCTCTGAAAAAAAGTAATATGGTCAGATCATGGCCACAGAATGTGGTAAATCCACTCTTCACCAACATTACCATTCAGCCAGCCACCCATTCCTGCGGCGTTAGAGAAGCCACAGGGCTCTCCTGAGCCTTATTACATGAACGGGAACATTATCATGGACAGCCCTTACCTGGGGAATAGTTACTCTAAACCTGCTACTGCTGCTACAGACCTCAACTAGTGGCCATAAATGTGTGTGGGTGTGAAATTTGTGTTTACTCGACCTGAACAGCTTGGG